ATATATTCTATCTATCTGTATATTTATTCATAGACATGAATGATATCACACATAATTTATGTATACATTATAATAGCATAATTAAGTAATGTGTTTTTCAAGAAAGATAAGATAATTTATCCAAATAATCAGAAATAAGGTTCAATAACTTACTACTTTCTTTTTGCCAGTACTTTTACTACTTGAAGTTCCTTGGACACTGAATTTCGCTGACAATTCATCGATACTACCACCGTCTATATCAGTAGATACAACACCTAAGGAACTACAAGAGTCAGATCTAGCACCCACTGACGATTCCATATCAACGTCCTCCGAGGAAGAGGATTGCTGCATTTGTGGTTGTTCTTGCTGCTGTTCTTCATTTGCTAACCTATCTGCTACATATCTGTAAGAAAATACAAGGTAGTAGATAATTGCGCGATAGAGCATCAACGAATTCAATATTTTGGAGCTTAAAGGATTGCCGTTAAAGTCAAACCTGATTGCTGCTACCCAGTCTTCCCTTTCTTGCTCCGTTTCCACATGAAACGTCCTTTCGATTACAGTCGTCCACTGGAGGCCTCTGATAACAAATGTATAGGGTTTAGGTCTGTCCACTGACATTATTTGGCACCCACGCACTGTGAAGTTATTTAACGGCTGGGTAGATGTTTGGGCAGCCATCTGTGGGTCAGGCTTCACCTTGAACCCGACCAGCGTACCATCATCCCTCAAGACAAAATACCTCGATCTCCAATTTTTTATGTGCTCCCCTATAAAGAAATTATTACGCATTTTAATTATATATACGTAAATACCTGACTATGGAGAATTTAACTCTAAAAGTAAGTACCTAAATGTGATTGAAATTGAATGTTTCTCTTTAACAAATTATTGCTCAAATCTTACCTATATACATAGATATATATATAAGAACATCATACAATTTCCAATTAATATATTTGAATGCAATTCAAAAAGGAAAAGTATATGACATCAGATATGACTAATAAGAAGACCTAAGAGACGCTATGCTTCATCGTTCCCACGTTTCTTTCACCGGGTGTGCTACAAAGTAGCACGATTGTTTTTGGAGCGATACGAAAACATGCAGACTTCTAACTTCTACGAAGACATGAAAACGAGACTCCGTCATCACGTGGACGTGAAGACGGGACTCGACCATGGACACAGATCTCCGTAGATGGTTCCTTACAGGAACCAGGATTCGTGCACGCAAACAATTTTGTGAGGAAGAGAAGCAAGACGCTCGGTGGGTTCCCGAGGCTCGGTACCATCTTCTCCTCCGCGTTGCACGCTCGACAGGCAGCGGCACGCATTCGTGACACCTAGCCCGCAGGGGTAACCCACGTAGAAGAGGAGCGTAGTCGGAGTCCCACGGGCTCCGGTAAACATTACGCAAAACGTAAATATTATGGAAGTACCGCGTTTTTGGAGCCATCCTTCCTTGACGATACGTTGACCGCCGCTGCCACTGCCACTGCCACCGCTGACACCGTTACCGCTGCCGCTGCCACCGCTGGTGCCGTTACCGCTACCGCTGGCACCGCCACCGCCACCGCCACCGCCGCCGCCACCACCGCCACCGCCACCGCCGCCGCCGCCTCCGCCGCCGCCACCACCACCGGACGCTGCGACGTTCATCGCTGCGTCCCCTATCAGTCGTTCGTCGATACGCACTTGTCGATATCCCGGTGACGCTCCGAGTTCCGTCCTACGTCAGGAATCTCACAAAAATCGCGAACACGCAGTAGCGGGAGTGGTGCGCGTATGTAAACTTGAGTAATCATAGATACGCGTGCGGCAGGTGATGCATATGTACACACTGACCGTCGACGTGATGTCGTGATCGCGCTGAACTAAAGAATACTGAGATTAGAGATACGTCAGAAACGGCGCGATAGTCGCCCGGAGTTTAAAGCCACGTTTTCACAGGAAGGCAAGCCGCCGGCGATAACGAGAGGTCCGTGGTGGTGTGGTGGTTCTCGAACGCAGCCCTGCTGAACGCGTCCATTTATTTCTTCTGCAGGTTCTGCCAGCCATGGTGTAAATATACACCATGCGTCTTGCCCATCTACAAGAATTCTGTCAGTGACAGTTAGACAGCAAAATAAGTAAAAATGGCGGTCACCATGGACTCTGTGAGAGAAAAAGCGCTTCAAGATTATCGAAAAAAGCTTTTAGAACATAAGGAAGTTGAGTCACGTCTCAAGGAAAGTAAGATATCTTCATCAATATTGTAAATTTTATATAGTAAAGTTTTATTTACAAAGTATGTATGTATCAGAGGCCCTCCTAACCTCTCACATTTCCTCTTATTACTCTTACTCTTGTTAAGCTTTCTCGATATTTTACTCTTAAATACACTTTTTTTGCAATACCAATATATTAATACACTTTTTTCGGGACATTTTATTTTATATCTTATAATTGATTTATAAAAAAATGTAATGACTTTGAAATATATGTTCTTTCTAGTGAGAGAACACCTCAAGGATCTGACAAAGCAATATGACAAGTCTGAGAATGATTTAAAGGCATTGCAAAGTGTTGGACAGGTATTGTCATTTTTATTGTCAAAATGTAATAACTAATAACTCATGATTATCTCTATATTCTATATTGCATAATCTTACAGATTGTTGGTGAAGTGCTAAAACAACTTACCGAAGAAAAGTGTAAGCAATTAATTTATATACACCTAAAGTTCTGTATATTTAATCCTAAAGATCAAATATATCTATTTTGCTGCATATCTAATCTAAAGATGACTAAAAATTCAAAGTTTTATTACAATGATATGCTATTCATGTTTCATAAGAACAAAAAGATTATATCTAGCGCAATAGGCACACGTATCTTGCAAATTTATAGTTAAAATTTAAATTGACGTATCCGAAACAAAAGATAATATAGATTTAATTTGTTGTATAGTTATAGTGAAAGCAACGAACGGTCCACGTTATGTTGTTGGATGTCGGCGTCAATTGGATAAAAATAAATTAAAATCTGGAACTAGAGTTGCTTTAGATATGACAACTCTCACCATCATGCGCTATTTGCCACGTGAGGTAAAAGAGATCGCTAATTAATCCTTTAAGAGATTAGCTCTCAATTCGTAAAAAAAAA